TGCATATGGACTCATATCATGAATGTACTTAAAACTATGGGATGGAGATGATGCACAAGCGCACAGGGTCAGAATAACTAAGGAACACACCTACCAGTCAAAAAGGCAGACACTGGGCAGCGAGCGGGAGGTTGCAATGAGTCAGGATCATGCCACTGCACTCCAGCCTTGGTGACAGAGTGAAACTCTGTCTCAAAAACCAGCAAACAAACAAAAAGGCAGACACTGGCTAGAGGTTAAGCAACCTTGGGAAGAGAAGAAAAAAACTTACAAAGTAACCCAAAGTACAGCAAACTAATGCTGCTCTCATCTGGAATAGACCGGCTCGCTCTTCCCTCTCCGAGAGTGCAGTACTGTGCTTCATCAACTATTTTTCTTCTTTTTCTTTTTTGAAATGGAGTCTTGCTGTGTCACCCAGGCTGGAGTGCCATCTCTATTGACTGCAACCTCCCCCTCCCAGGTTCAAGTGATTCTCCTGCCTCAGCCTCCAGAGTAGCTGGGATTACTGGCACCCACCACCACACCCAGCGAATTTTTATATTTTCAGTAGAGATGGGGTTTCACCATGTTTCCCAGGCTGGTCTTGAACTCCTGACCTCAAGTTATCCACCTGTCTTGGCGTCCCAAAGTGCTGGGATTACAGGTGTGAGCCACCTGTAATACTCCTCCTGTTCTTAACAAACATCTGCTGCTTTGCTTTGCCCTCTGTGTGTGTCACGTCCAATTCTTTGTTCGGGACACCAAGAGCCTGGAACTGCATGGCACTATCCGGCAACACCACCACAAATGGCAGAGCCTAGATTTGATCCAGTTCAGTCTGAGAGCAAAGAATGAGCTCAACCACTGTGCTGTTCTTTGCCTCTCCTGTTCCATGGTGTGTGTGTGTGTGTGTGTGTGTGTGTGTATGATAAAATTGGGTAAGTGTAGCAAATCAAAACCACAAAGTTACCACTTTATACCTACTAAGATGACTATAATGTTTTTTAATGGAAAAATTACAGGTATTAGTAAGGATGAGGGGAAATGGAAACCCTCATTGGTGATGGTAGGAATGTAAAATGGTGCAGCTGCTGTGGAGAACAGTCTGGCAACTTCTCAAAAAGTGAAAAATAGAATTACTATATGATGCGACAATTCTACTCCCAGGTATACACCCAAGAGAACTGAAAACCTATGTCTACACAAAAACCTACACAGGAAGGTTCACAGTTCATAGTAGCCCCAAAGCAGAAACAACCCAGATGGCTGTCAGCAGATGAAAGGAAACGAGATCTGTCTACACAGTGGAGTGTAATTCAGCCATGGAAAGGAATGGAGACCGGTACACCCTGCAGGATGCATTCACCCTGAACTTCAGGCTAACCGAAAGAAGCCAGTCATAAAAGACACCCTGCTGTATAATTCCGTGTTTATGAAATGTCCAGAATAGGCAAATTCACAGGGACAGAAAATAGATTAGTGGGTGCCAGGGGCTGAGGGAAGGAGAATGAGAATACCACCAGTGGGCATGGGATTTGTTTTTGGACTGATGAAAAATGTTCTGGAATTAGATAGTGGTAATGGTTGCACAGTGTGGTAAATGTTCTAAAATCCACTGAATTGTACACTTCAACATGGTGAGTTTTGAATGGGTGCGGTGGCTCACATCTGTATTCTCAACACCTTGGGAGGCCGAGGCAGGCGAATCACCTGAGGTCAGGAGTTCTAGACCAGCTTGATCAACATGGTGAAACCCCATCTCTACTAAATACAAAAATTTAGTTAGATATGGTGATGCATGCCTGTAATCTCAGCTACTTGAGAGGCTGAGGCAAGAGAATTGCTTGAACCTGGGAGGCAGAGGTTGCAGTGAGCTGAGATTGTGCCACTGCACTCCAGCCTGGGAGACAGAGCGAGACTCAGTCTCAAAAAAAAAAAGTGAATTTTATGTTATGTGGGCTGTATTTTAAATTTTTTAAAAGGCAACCTGAGGGTCAGATCTGGGAGATCTTTGAATACTGGACTCTAGGGTCCAGGTTTTATTTGTGTGGAACAGGGAGCCCCTGGAAGTTTCTAAAGAGGATATTGACAAGAAAGGGGTCAGGTAAACATGTAAAGTGCTTAACACATGGGAAGTGTTCAGTAAATATCAGTTCCCTTTTCTTCCCTTATGACCCGCTACCCAAATTCAAGACCAAGCTTCCATTCCTCCTATGGAAAAATCGTTCTTTTCTGTTTGGATACTAATAGAAAACCCATCTTTTCTTTTCTCTCTTTAAAAATATATTTTTTTAATTTTTTGCCCAGGCTGGAGTGCAGTGGTGTGCTCATGGCTCACTGCAGCCTCTAATTCCTGGGCTCCAGCAATCCTCCTGCCTCACTCAGCCTCCTGAGTAGCTGGGACTGTAGTCAGGAGCCACCAGGCCTAGCTAATTTCTTTTTCTTTTTTGAGACAGAGTCTCCCTCTGTTGCCCAGGCTGGAGTGCAGTGGTGTGATCCCCACTCACTGCAACCTCCGCCTCCCTGGTTCAAGCGATTCTCCTGCCTCAGCCTCCCGAGTAGCTGGAACTACATGTGACTGCCACCATGCCTAGCTAATTTTAGTATTTGTAGTAGAGACTGGGTTTTAGTATGTTGGCCAGGCTGGTCTCGAACTCCTGACCTTAGCTGATCCACCACCCGCCTCCCCGCCCTCCCAAAGTGCTGGGATTACAGGCGTGGGCCACCGCGCCTGGCTGTTTTTTATTTGTTTTACGAAGCTACTTTTGATACTTTGGGGTGAGCCCCCCATGAATAAAAATCACTGGGAAGCGGTAGCCCCCTTAACCCCGGGAGTGCCCCGTGGGAGAGAGTCTGCCAGACAGGGGGAAGCTCGGAAGGACCTGCTGCAGACCCAGGGCGAAGGGAGGCCCCGCAGGAGGAAACGCGGGCGCGGCGGAGCTGGCTCTAGGCACACGGGCCGCGGGCAGGAGGGTCAGATACGAAACCACAAGGCTCGTTGGGTTCCTCCTCCTTCCCGTCTGCTTTTTTCTGCTTCTGCAGCCTGATCTCCGAGTCCCTCTACACGCGGGCGGCGGCCGAAAGCCCGCATCTCGGCGCTTTCCCCCTGCCGAGTTGCTCTGCGTTTTCCTGTTCTGACCGGAGAGCTGACGCTGGGTACCAAGGGGATGGCCACGGCCCAAATCACCCTCCATGTCATTCCCCAGCCCACGCCTGCCCCAGCCACACTCCCTCTGGTTTTCCTGAGGTTCTCCAGCCGCTCAATGATGGGCAGGTTCATCTACAGCCTAGAGCATCCTCCTCTCCTCCCTCTCCTTCTCCTCCTCCTCCTCCTCCCCTCGCTCTCCTCCTCCTCCCCCTCCTTCACCTCCTCCTCCTCTCCTTCCTCCTCCTTCTCTTTTATTTACAACCTAGAGCATCCTCCTCTCCTCCCCCTCCTCCTCCTCCTTCTCCTCCTTCTCCTCCCCCTCCATCTCCTCCTTCTCCTCCCCCCTCCTTTATCTACAGCCTAGAGCATCCTCCTCCTCCCCCTCCTCCTCCTCCTCTTTCTCCTCCCCCTCCATCTCCTCCTTATCCTCCCCCCTCCTTTATCTACAGCCTAGAGCATCCTCCTCCTCCCCCTCCTCCTCCTCCTTCTCCTCCCCCTCCATCTCCTCCTTATCCTCCCCACTCCTTTATCTACAGCCTAGAGCATCCTCCTCCTCCTCCTCCCCCTCCCCCTCCTCCTCCCCCTCCCTCTCCTCCTCCCCCTCCCCCTCCTTCTCTTCCTCCACCTCCCTCCCTCCCTCCTCCTCCTCTTCCTCTCCCTTGTCCTCCTCCTCAGGAACCCCTCTTCTTCCTTCTCCTCATTCTTCCTTCTTATTCTTTCCTCCTTATTCTTCCTTCTCCTCTTCCTCCTCTTCTCTTTTTGTTCTGTTTTTCTCCCTCCTCCTCTTCTCTTAATTTTCCTCCTCTTTTTCTCCCTCTTCTTTCTCCTTATCCTCCTCTTCTCCTCTTACTGTTCTTTTCTTTCCTTCCATTTTCTGTCCTCCTCTTCTTTTCCTTTGTTTTTTTTTGAGATGGAGTCTTGTCTGTCACCCAGGCTGGAGTGCAGTAGTGCAATCACGGCTCACTGCAACCTCTACTTCCCAGGTTCAAGCGATCCTGAATAGCTGGGATTACAGGCATCCACCACCATCACCCCCAGCTAATTTTTGTATTTTTAGTAGAGAGGGAGTTTTGCCATGTTGGCCAGGATGGTCTCAAACTTCTGACCTCAGGTGATCCACCCACCTCAGCCTCCTAAGTGTTGGGATTACAGGCATGAGTCACTGTGCCTTTTTTTTCTTTCTCCTTTTTTTTTGAAGAATAATTGAAATCAAGGTTTTCTAAAAATTCTTCCTAGATCTCATCTTCACCTAATCGTGTCGTGTTCATTCACCCACCATGTGACTGCTTCGATTCCCCATTTCCATTTCACTCCATTTCTCCCTCTTTCCTCCCACTCTTACCCACACAGTGAGGAGCATGATAAAAAGGGACCAGGCAGTCCTGGGTTCCAACCCTACCCGGCTCCCTGTCCTGTAGACGCTCTGACTCTGCCCAAAGCCAGTTTCCTCCAGTAACCACAGCAGTCATACCAAGTTCTAGGATTCTTTCGAGGATTGTGTGTATTAGCCACAGTGGATCTCTGATGCCTGACACATCGGTTGTGCTCAAGAAATGACAACTCTTGCATTACAGTGACTGTGTAGTTAGGGGACAGTGTATGGCGAAATGCCGATCACTGTTGAGAAGTTGGTTTCATCCCTCTAGTCTCAAATCCAGTATTTTAAGGACGTGCTAAATGCTTTGTCCTGGAGAGCTATCTTAAGGGACAAAATCCTTTTCCCAACGTCATCTGAGACACATCCTGACACTAGCTCTCTACTGAGAGCTACTTCTAAGAAGTAATTGGAAGTGCCATTATCAGGCAGGGACAGGGACTCTAGGGGATTTTGGGGTCCAGCAGATACGAAATGAACGATTTCACACAGCTGTGGCAGGAATTTCCCACAAGACCCCGCCCCCGGCTGAGTCACAGCACTCTTGTGTGTGACCTGAAGCCCTCCCGAGCTGCAGAACCCTGAAGACCAAGGAGTGGAAAGTTCGCCAGCAGCCCTGAGATCTCAAGGTCTGTCCATTTGGGGGAGTGAGTGGGGGCACTGAGAGGGGGTGAGGATAGAACCTTTGCTCCCTTTGCCCCTTTCTAGACTTTTTCTCTTTCTAATTTAGAATGTCATCTCTTCAATAGCCCATTAAATAAACATCAATAACTTGGCCTGAAGAGACTTTTTCACTCCCTAGTTTTGTTACCATACAAGCTTCACATCTCAGAATGGGCTAGGACATGGTTCTGTTTGAGAAAATGTGTCACTGTGTTGGACAGGGAGGACTTTCCACATGTTTAGGTGTTCAGCTCAAGGGGAAGAGTGACTATAGGATAGCTTCTTTTTTTCTCTCTCTTTCATAAATAACCTAACTTTTAGTTTGTTAATTTTTGTGGATACATAATAATTTTACATTAATGTATTTATGGGCACACGTGATATTTTAATACATGCCTAGAATGTGTAATGATCAAATCACAGTAGTTTAATATCTATCAACTCAAAGATGTATCCTTTCTTTGTGTTGGGAACATTTTAAACCTTCTCTTCTAGCTGTTTTGAAGTATGCAATAAATTATTGTTAACTGTGGTCACCATACTGTGCTGTGGGATAGCTTCTTATTAACCGAATAGTCTGATGCGCCTGACAGATTCTCTTTGTAAGGAGTTTATTTCAGGGGCCGCAAGTAATTGACATTATTGACAGCTGGATGGTACTTTGCAGTGCCTATGAAAGTCCCCAAAAGTTCTGGCTATTGTTATTACCGCATTTTAGCAGAACATGATAGAAAATGCACCCTCAGACATTGGCAAACATGCACAAAGCTGTGTGCTTAGTCACGCCTGGCTAGTCGCCGTAGTTTCTATGAATTTCCTACTTTTCCATAGTGTTGCATCGTTAATTGTTCCTGAAAAACCCTGAGTTATCCTCTTGTACAATTGTATAGGTAATGATTGCAATATAGAGAATTTTGAAAGGAGAAACCACTTTTCCTTGGAAATGTTTACTTTTGCAGAGTGACATTTGCCAGACCAGTTAATTTGATTAAAATTCTCTTGGAATAGGCTTTGCTTGTATCATACCTGTGTCAGATTTCATCATGAGAAACAGCTGTTACAACATAGTAGCCACTCTGCTGCTGGTCCTGAACTTTGAGAGGACAAGATCATTGCAGGATCTGTGTAGTAACTGCCCAGCTGGTGAGTGCCCAATTACCATGTGCATTTGATCTGTTCTGTTGGAAGCATGGTTCAGTTAGTCTAGTAGTCAAGGCTAATGAGCTCCCCCTTAAGGAAATGAAAATGAAAAATCCATTCATTTACACATATTTATTGGATGCTACCACCTAGCTGTGTGAACAAAGCCGAGTCATTCAATCTCTTGTGCCTTGACTTTCTCATCTGAGGATAATAAGAGAACCTGTTTTGGGGGATGGCTGGGAGGATCCACCAAAAGGCTTAGAACAGCACATGGCACACGGCAAGACTTCAGTACATTTTAGTTTTGTGTGTAGGGTTTTGTGCTCAGACTGGGGGCATAGCAGCAAGTAAGCAGGTGGCACAGGGCTTGTCAGTGGGAATGTCAGGCGCATTTAAATTTTAGTGTAGGACATTGATGTCCTTCTGGACCCAGTCATATTGATCTCCTGAATCAATCAAGATAATAATTTTGTTTTATTCAATAGATAAAGTATTTTCTTTCTGCTGCTTTATTTCTTACAATATCTGTATTTTGTTATTTCTTTTCTTTTTTTGAGACAGCATCTCACTCTGTCACTCAGGCTGGAGTGTAGTGGCATGATCTCAGCTCACTGCAACCTTAGCTTTCCAGGTTCAAGTGATTTTCCTGCCTCAGCCTCCCAAGTAGCTGGGATTATAGGCACGCACCACTGCACCTGCCTAATTTTCATATTTTAGTAGAGATGGGGTTTCACTAAGTTGCCAGGCTGGTCTTGAACTCCTAACCTCAGGCGATCTGCCTGCCTCAGCCTCTCAAAGTGCTGGGATTACAGTCATGAGCCACTGTGCCCGGTCTCTTTTTTTTTCTTCTGAGACAGAGTCTCACTCTATCACACAGGCTGGAGTACAATGGTGAGATTTTGGCTCACTGCTACCTCCGCCTCCCAGGTTCAAGCGATTCTTCCGCCTCAGCTTCCTGAGTAGCTGGGATTATAGGCATGTGCCACCATGCCTGGCTAACTTCTGTAGAGCGGGGTTTCACCATGTTGGCCAGGCTGGTCTTGAATTCCTGACCTCAGGTGATCTGCCTGGCTCAGCCTCCAAAGTCCTGGGATTACAGGTGTGAGCCACTGTGTCTGGTCTGAATTTTGTTATTTCTAATTCTGTGATTACACAAAGAACAATCTTGCACATGCATCATTTTAGGAATTCAACCAAACTAATGTCTATCACTGTGGCATCTAGAAAACGAATCATTCTTTTCTAATCGTATTTTCTTGTAAACTTCAGAGCACCTTGGGTGACAACTGCCCGCTGTCAAACATGTACTGCTATGGTCTGCCTTTTTTTTAGGTACATTCTGTGGGAATAACAAGAATCAGACTTGCATTCCCTGTCCTCCAAATAGTTTCTCCAGCGTAGGCGGACAAAGGGTCTGTGTCCTGTGCAGGCCGTGTAAAGGTATGAGTTCAAAGATGTTTTCTTCTTCTAGAAGATAGTCGGGAAGAGAAGCTTTTCTTTCCTATTCACTAACTGCTCCCTATTGAAAATCTCAAGTGTCAAAGACTCTGATTCTTCTGTTAACTGGTAGGTCCAGTAAAATAATTTATGATGATAGCAATTATTTGTGGACTGAGCTTTCTAAATATTAAAGGGAACATTCATTTGCTGAGAGAGAAGTTGTGATTTTCCAAAATGTAAAAACGTCTTTATAGAGATTTAAAAGTAAACTTTAACATCACTGAGAACGTTGTAAGTGAAGTGAGAAGGATTGTGACTGCACGACATAAATTTGATTCCTGGATCTGGAGGACAAATGTAATAAAACGTTGGGGGCTGTGGGGACCTCACAGGTGTTTTCAGGACCAGGAAGGCTTGTTCCTCCACCAGCAACGCAGAGTGTGACTGCATTTCAGGATTTCGCTGCCTGGGGGCCGGATGCCGAATGTGTGAACCAGATTGTAAACAAGGTCAAGAATCGACAAAAGAAGGTAGGTTTACACTTCTTTGATCTAGTGCTGTTTTGTGATGTAGGCAAACAGCTTAGGCCTTGATCCTTTGAATATAAACAAACGGATCTGTAGAAACTCAAAGTTAACAAGTGATGAGTATATGATATTAATATCATCTTTTTTTTTTTTTTGAGTTGGAGTTTTGTTCCTGTTACTCAGGCTAGAGTGCAATGGCGTGATCTCGGCTCACTGCAACCTCCGCCTCCTGGGTTCAGGCAATTCTCCTGCCTCAGCCTCCTGAGTAGCTGGGATTACAGGCACGTGCCACCATGCCCAGCTAATTTTTTGTATTTTTAGTAGAGACGGGGTTTCACCTTGTTGACCAGGATGGTCTCAATCTCTTGACCTCGTGATCCACCCGCCTCGGCCTCCCAAAGTGCTGGGATTACAGGCTTGAGCCACCGCGCCCGGCCTAATATCATCTTTTAATTAATGAAATATTTCCATTATTTTGTCGTAAATGGAAATAATTTAAAATCAGAACATTCGTTAATTGCCAGAACCATTCATCTTCACACGCGTCAGACACAAGCAATACTCTAAGTACCGTTAGCATAGAAACTAGCCTCTTAGGGTTTCAAGAATTATCGAACGATTTGTGTAGATTGCATTTTGGTAATGACTTGATTACATTCATCACAGGAAAAGTTATAAAATGATGAAAATGCTTCCTTTTTTTCATTGCTTTCGTTTTTAATGCAAGGTTGTAAAGACTGTGGTTTTGGGACATTTAATGATCAGAAACGTGGCATCTGTCGACCCTGGACAAAGTATGTATAATTTCCTTTAGTTTATTGAATAAAGATCTTGGTTAGGCCAGGTGTGGTAGCTCACTCCTGTAATCCCAGCACTTTGGGAGGCTGGAGGGTGGATCACGAGGTCAGGAGTTCAAGACCAGCCTGATCAACATGGTGAAACCCATTTCTATTAAAAATAGAAAAATTAGCCAGAGTGGTGGTACATATCTATAATCCCAGCTACTTGGGAGGCTGAGGCAGGAGGACTGCTTGAACCCAGAAGCTGGAAACCAGCCTCAGCAACAAAGTGAGACCCTATCTCTACAAAAAATCAAAAAATTAGCCAGGCGTAATGGCACGTGCCTGTTGTCCCAGCTATATGGAAGGCTGATGAGGCAGGAGGACCACCTGAGTCCTAGACGTTGGGGCTGCAATGAGCTATGATCGCACCATTGCACTCCAGAGCAGAGACCCTGTCTCAAGAAAAAGGAGAAGAGTTGTCCGTGGAACTTTGAAACTGTCAGCCTCTTCTCTGTTTCCTTCTCATTTCTTTGCTGCCTCTTACCTTCTCTGAGTGATCAGCCCATCTCCATATTGTTCAATGCCAGCCCCTAGCATGACACAGAAGAAAGTAACAATTGCTCGTTACCCTCCAAAATGTGGCACACACTTGGCACACAAGGCCATCACAGGAGGTAAAAAGCCAGTGGTATACGAGAGAATGTGACCATTGATTTGCGGGACCAGAACTCACACTGTGGTCTATGGATAGGTGCTGGTCCACAAATGGCTTGTGCTGTGCCTCTGTCAACAGCAGTGTAGGGTTAGAGAATAAGCATTTAGAAACTTTTAAGGCAAATTGGCAGAGTAATGTGTCTGTTGACTAAGAATAAAAATTCGGGCATTGCATTTTGTGTCTCTGCTCTTTTTCCATTTGCTTCTTCTTACTAGAAAATCATTTTTGTTATGTTACATTTTCATTTTTATTGTATTTTAAAAGTGTATGGGTTTGTAACAGATGGGAAAGTGACTTTTTTGGAGAGAAAATAAAGTGTTTTAAAACAGGAATCATGGTATCCACCTGCCTTTGTCATTTATAATTTATCGGCATCAGAGTGGCCGACAAATGGATTCACGATACACAAGAAAAGTATTGACTATTTTCTCAGACTTAGCTGAATTCTCTCTTTGGAAAGTACCGTTTTAAAAAAGGTCTGGTTTTCTTTTTGTTTTGTTTTTGAGATGGAGTTTCACTCCTCTTGTCCAGGCTGGAGTGCAATGGTACAGGCTCGACTCACTGTAACCTCCACCTCCTGGGTTCAAGTGATTCTCCTGCCTTGGCCTCCCGAATAGCTGGGATTACAGGTGTGCATCACCACGCTGGCTAAATTTTTTGTATTTGTAGTAGAGATGGGGTTTCACCACGTTGGCAAGGCCGGTCTTGAATTCCCGACCTCAACTGATCCGCCCACCTCAGTCTCCCAAAGTGCTGGGATTATAGGCCTGAGCCACTGCACCCAGCCAGAAAGTGGCTTTTTGAAAAAGGTCTTTCAATACAAATTGTTCAAAGTTGTTAAGTGAGTCTGTGTGGAAAGTGGGTTTGAACTGGGCTCTGGAGGATGGGTGGATTTGGGGTAGGTAAAGGACCGAGGGAAAGGTGTAGCAGCAACAGCAACAATGATGGCAATGATGGTGGTGATGATGATGATGACAGCTACCCTTTACTCCGTGTGTCAGACGTGCAAGAGGGTGTCACTGACTCTCACTCATTTGTTCCTTGAAATAGTTCTGGCAGCACATACAACCCTAATTTTGCAGATGAGAAAACTGAGGCTTAAGGAGATTTCTTTTTCTTTTTTCCTTTCTTTTTTTTTTTTTGGTTTGAGAAAGAGTCTTGCTGTGTTGCCCAAGCTGGAGTGCAGTGGTGTGATCTTGGCTAACTGCAACCTCCGCCTCCTGGGTTCAAGCAATTCTCCTGCCTCAGCCTCCTGAGTAGCTGGGACTGCTGGAGTGTGCCACCATGCCCGACTAATTTTTCCTATTTTTAGTAGAGACAGGGTTTCACTGTGTTAGCCAGGATGGTCTTGATCTCCTGACCTTGTGATCTGCCCATCTCAGCCTCCCAAAGTGCTGGGATTACAGGCGTGAGCCACCACAACTGGCTTATCCTTTTTTGAGATGCAGTTTCCCTCTGTTGCCCAGACTGGTGTGCAGTGGCACAATCTCACCTCATTGCGACCTCTGCCTCCAAGCTGCAAGTGATTCTCCCGTCTCAGCCTCCCCAGTAGCTGGGATTACAGGCACCCGCCATCATGCCCGGCTACTTTTTTTTTTGTATTTTTTAATAGAGACAGTTTCACCATGTTGGCCAGGTTGGTCTCAAACTCCTGACCTAAGGTGATTTACCCACCTTGGCCTCCCAAAGTTCTGGGATTAAGGCGTGAGCCACCATGCCTGGGCTAGAGAGATTTCTTAACTTGCCCAAAGTCATTTTAGAAAGCAGGAGACCGAGGGCTCAAACCCTGGTTTGTCTGATGCCAGTGGTGGACCCTCTGACCCTATGCTATCCTTTATCTGTGCTGGAGATGGTCAAGTCCAGTTAAGAAGTTGGGGGTAAGAGACTAACCAGGCAAAACAGCCTGAACTGAGCTGTCACTGAATAGAAGGAAGCCACGGAAAGCTGCAGGGAGCCATATGGTCAAGTGGAAGTTTTTCAAAATACCTTTGCATTGCCTGCAAACCCAGACCCGCATATCTTTTTCACTAGGCTACTTCATTGGGTGAAAAATGAAAAAGTTTTAAATCGAAATCCTCTGGACCTTAGTTAATTATTTAAACTTTTTTCGTTGAACTGTCTAAGCTGCTCTTTGGATGGCAAGTCTGTGCTTGTGCATGGGACGAAGGCAAGGGACGTGGTCTGTGGACAGTCTTCAGCCGACCTCTCTCCAGGAGCATCCTCTGTGACCCCGCCTGTCCCTGCAAGAGAGCCAGGTATCTGGGCTATGCCATTAAATCAAAATGAATATCTTTTTTGTTGTTTTTTTTTGAGATGGAGTCTTGCTCTGTCACCCAGGCTGGAGTGCAGTGTTGTGATCTTGGCTCACTGCAACCTCTGCCTCCTGGGTTCAAACAATTCTCCTGCCCCAGCCTCCAGAATAGCTGGGATTACAGGCACATGCCACCACGCCCAGCTAATTTTTGTGTTTTTGGTGGAGATGGGGTTTCACCATGTTGACCAGACTGGTCTCAAACTCCTGACCTCAAGTGATCCACCTGCCTCAGCCTCCCAAAGTGCTAGGATTACACACATGAGCCACTGTGGCAAGCCTCAAAATGAGTATTTTATGGTGATTCGAGATTGTGTCTAAATCGCCCCAATATCATGATGTCTCACGTCTCCACCTACAACAGGCACCTCCCAGGTGCATTTGTTCCTGTATCCTGCCCTCAGGGACCCAGAAGTTTTCTCCCAGGCATTTGTTATTCAGTCTGAGATACACATTTGTAAACAGTGCCAGAGGACACTCCATCCAAACAGAATCTACACTTTTATCAATGCTAAGGAAAGGGGATTATAGGGCCCCATATACATACATATATATATACTTTTTTTTTTTTTTGAGAGAGAGCAAGTGCCTTGCTCTGTCGCCCAGGCTGGAGTGCAGTGGCGTGATCTTAGCTCACTGCAACCTCTGCTTCCCAGGTTCAAGCGATTCTCCTAACTCAGCCTCCTGAGTAGCTGGGATTACAGGCACCCACCGCCACGCCCAGCTAATTTTTGTATTTTTAGTAGAGACAGTGTTTTGCCATGTCGGCCAGGCTGGTTTCAAACTCCAGACCTCAGGTGATCTGCCTGCTTCAGCCTCCCAAAGTGCTGGGATTACAGGCATGAACCACTGCACCCAGCCATTGAGTTTCTTTCTTTCTTTCTTTTTTCTTTTTATTTTTTGAGATGGAGTCTCTCTTTGTCCCCCAGGCTGGAGTGCAGTGACACGATCTCGGCTCCCTGCATGCTCCACCTCCTGGGTTTCAAGCGATTCTCCTGCTTTATCCTCCTGAGTAGCTGGGATTACAGGCACCCACCACCACGCCCAGCTAATATTTGTATTTTTATTAGAGATGGGGTTTCACTATGTTGGCCAGGTTGGTCTTGAACTCCTGACCCTAAGTGATCCACCCTCCTTGGCCTCCCAAAGTGTTGGGATTACAGGTGTGAACCACCATGCCCAGCCTTTTTTAAAAGTTTTCTAAGTTTACTACATTAGCAGGTTGGAGATGCCCAAAGCTCTGAATCTTCTCATGCTTAGGAGTTCACCAATGTAAATATACACATGAGCGTATGAGCGTCGATACATTTCTGCGTTCATTTCTCCTTGGCTCTGTTTTGCAGGATGCACTCCGCAGATCATCTCCTTCTTTCTTGTGCTGACATCGGTTGTGGTGCTGTTCCTGCTGTTCTTCTTCGTGCTCCGTTTCTCTGTTGTTAAACAGGGCAGAAAGAAACTCCTGTATATATTCAAACAACGTAAGAGTAACATTATCGTATTAGGGCTCTAACAAGGCAAGGCTTTTTATAGTAGAAAGGAAAAGATGATTTTTAAAAAATGTATAGAAATGAGGTTCATGTAGCCCAGTGGCCAGTTTTGTCTCTGGAAAGGTTTGCAGTGTCTGGAGACAGTCATGATGGTCACTACTTGGTGGTGGTGGCAGTTGGGAGCTACTGGCACCTAGTAAGTACAGGCCAGCGATGCTGCGGAACTCCTACAATGCGCAGGGCAGCCTCCCAGCAAAGAACGGTGCTGCCTCAAATGTCAATAGTGCTGAATGGAGAAAGCTTGGGTATAGTAGAGAACACCCCAGTTCTAGAAAAATGACAGATTTAAATATGCTGCAGCCTTGGATTATACCATGTGTGTACGCGCATATAGACACTGGCAAAGAAGAATCAGAAAACCATGTTCCCCCCATGTCCCTCTGGTTGATAAATGGGCTTAAATTGAGTTTAGACCCATATTTGAGGAAGGCAGAGAGAACGAAGAGGGAGTTTGAAGGGGTTTAACAACATGGACTGACCGGGCACCATGGTTCACGCTTGTAATTCCAGCACTTTGGGAGGCCGAGGCAGACAGATTGCCTGAGCTCAGGAGTTTGAGACCAGCCTGGTCAACATGGTTAAACCCGTCTTTACTAAAATACCAAAAAATTAGCCAGGCATGGTGGCAGGCACCTGTAGTCCCAGCTACTCGGGAGGCTGAGGCAGGAGAATCACTTGAACCCGGGAGGCAGAGGTTGCAGTGAACCGAGATGGTGCCACTGCACTCCAGCCTGGGTGACAGAGTGAGACTCCGTCTCCCCCACCCACTCATAAAAAGGACTATTAAAGCATCAATATGGATTACGTGAAAATTTTCAATAATGAATTTCACTTATTCACTCGTTCAACAAGATATTATTTCTATAAGGCACTCAGAAAGTGCCTGGCACAGAGTCAGCACCCACTAGACAAAAGCCACTGATAATTATTTGAAAAAGTATATAGAAGGAGGACAACCTGTTTTTTGTCTTTATGGATGATAGAACGAGACATAACAGGCTTAATAAGACTTAATATGAGACATTTAATAAAAGGAGCTTTTTGAGAGCAAAACCAAAACAACATATAAGATCAGAATGTGTCTATTTGGAGGTTGTTAAAAGATATGTGCAGAAAAATCATTAGTAAAGTTTTGTTTTGTTTTGTTTTGTTTTTGAGACGGAGTTTCACTTTTCTTGCCTAGGGCTGGAGTGCAAAGGTGCGATGTCAGCCCACCACAACCTCCGCTTCCGGGGTTCAAGTGATTCTCCTGCCTCACACTCCTGGTTAGCTGGGATTACAGGCGTGCACCACCATGCCTGGCTAATTTTGTATTTTTAGTAGAGACAGTGCTTTTCTATGTTGGTCAGGCTGGTCTCAAACTCCCGACCTCAGGTGATCTGCCCGCCTTGGCCTCCCAAAGTTCTGGAATGACAGGTGTAAGCCACCATGCCTGACCTATTGTACACTCTTTTATTGAATGATGACATCATTATTTACCTATTCTAATGTTGATGGATCCTGAGATCATTTCCACCTTGGGGTTAATACATGCAATGACATTTGAATATTTTTGTCCGTGGATCTCAGCACATGTAAACACATGTCTCTGGTTTTGTTTTGTTTTTTAACCTAGGAATAACATTGCTGAGATATAAGGATCATGTATCTTGGTCTTGAATATGCCGAACTGTTTTCCAAAGTGACTGGACCCCATTTACACTCCCCTGGCAGGAATGAGGTTCCTTTTACTCCATATCCCCTGATAAGTCTTGGTGTCATCAGACTATTTTTGTCCATATGGTGGGTAGATAGTGTATCTCATTGTGGTTTTAACTTGCATTACTGATTGCAAGTGAGGTTAGATGCCTTCTCGTGTTATTTTGGTTATTTGGATTTCCTCTTTAGTGAATTGCCTGATCAAGTCTTTTGAATATTTTCTCATAGGGTTTTCTGTCCTTTTCTAACCAATGTATAGGAAGTTTATAGTCTGTTGTTCATGAGCTGCGAATATCTTTTCCTATTTTGTGGTTTGCTCTTTTATTTTTTTTCTTTTGAAACGGAGTCTTGCTCTGTCACCAAGCTGGAGTGCAGTGATATGATCTCAGCTCACCACAACCTCCGCCTTCCAGGTTCAAGTGATTCTCCTGCCTCAGCCTCCCAAATAGCTGGGACTATAGGCACTCGCCACAACACCCAGCTAATTTTTTTTTTTTGTATTTTTTTAGTAGAGACAGGGTTTCACCGTGTTAGCCAGGACGGTCTTGATCTCCTGACCTGTGATCCGCCCGCCTTGGCCTCCCAAAGTGCTGGGATTACAGGCGTGAGCCAGTGCGCCCGGCCTGTGGTTTGCTCTTTCATTCTCTTTTTGAGGTCTACACTTCCAATTTAAACCTCTAAGCTCTCACTTAAGCCTGATTTCAGTTTTGTCTTTTATGTTTTTGAGACAGGGTCTCACTGTCACTCAGGCTGAAGTGCAATGGTGTGATCACGGCTCACTGCAGCCTCAAACTCTAGAGCTCAAGCAATCCTCCTGCCTCACGTACTGAGTAGCTGGGACTACAGGTGCATACCATCACACTCATCAGCTAATTTTTAATTGATTTTTAATTTTTTGGTAGAGACTGGGTCTCACTATGTTGTCCAGGCCAGTCTTAAACTCCTGGGCTCAAGCGGTTCTTCCACCTTGGCTTCCCAAAGTGCTGAACTTAATCCTGATTCAAAGGACTATTTCTGCAACAAAGTTCTGTCCATACCTCAGACTGCAACAAAGTTCTGTACAAAATGCTTTTCAAAAGTATTTATGAGTAACTAGTGAGTTTCAATGGAACTGTAATCCATTTTAGAAAAAAGTGTTAGGTCATTCAAAAGAACTTTTAATTTTGACATAATTATAGATTCACAGGAATTTGCCAAGACAGGAACCTCTCTCGTGCCATTTATGGGTTCCATCCTCCAGTACAATTGCAAAGCAGGAAACTCTCATTGGCACAGTGTGCATATGTAGCTGTGTGTCCCTTTATGACACATGTGGAGCTGTACAACGACTAGCACAATAAAATCAGAACTATCCATCACTGGAGAGATTTCCTCCCTCTACGCCTTTCTAGTCCGGTCCACTCTCCCTCCTTGCCTTCCCCTGGCAACCACTTATCTGTCTTCCATCTCTACACTTTTGTTATTTTAGGAATGTTGTCTAAATAGCCAGGCACAGTGGCTCACGCCTGTAATCCCAGCACTTTGGGAGGCCAAGGTGGGTGGATCACGAGGTCAGGAGTTTGAGACCAGCCTGGCCAACATGGTGAAAACCCGTCTCTACTAAAAATACAAAAATTAGCTAGGGGTGGTGACATGCACCGATAGTCCCAGCTACTAGGGAGGGTGAGGTGGGAGAATCACTTGAGGTTGCAGTGAGCTGAGATTGTGCCACTCCACTCCAGCCTGGTGACAGAGCGATACTCTGTATCTAAAAAAAAAAAAAGAAAAGAATGTTGTATAAATAGAATCATATGGTATGTGTTAAGCTAAATCACAGAGAGAGAGGCTGAAAGAATGTATTTTATCAGGAGTAGCATTGCAATGGGAATACAGTAGGTGTATTCAGGGAGGTAAAAGCGACAAGAATTTTTAAAAGAAAAAATGAGGGGCTGGGTTCAGTGGCTCATGCCTGTAATCCCAGCACTTTTAGAGGCTGAGGTGGGCAAATCACCTGAGCTCAGGAGTTCAAGACCAGTCTGGCCAACTCGGTGAAACCCCATCTCTACCAAAAATATAAAAAATTAGCCCTGCATGGTGGTGTGTGCCTGCAATCCCAGCTACTCAGGAGGCTGAGGCAGGAGAATCACTTGAACCCGGGAGGCAGAGGTTGCAGTGAGCTGAGATAGCACCACTGCACTCCATGCTGGGCGGCAGAGTGAGACTCCGTCTCCTAAAAGAAAAACCGAGGAGGGTTACATAAGTTATTTTGAAACAATTATCCTTGACTAAAACCTCAGAAGTATTTTTTTGTGTGTAAGGTACAGTAACCTTTATACAAGGTTGTGATTTCTCTCGCTGCAACCTCTGCCTCCAGGGTTCAAGCGATTCTTGTGCCTCAGCCTCCTGAGTAGCTGGGATTACAGGCGCCCACCACCATGCCTCACTATAGTACAGACAGGGTTTTGCCATGTTGGCCACGCTGGTCTTGAACTCCTGGCCTTATGTGACCTTATCTGCCTCCCAAAGTGCTTGTATTATAGGCATGAGCCACCATGCTGGCCCATTTGTCAGGGTTTTGACACAAGTTACTCCATTTTGATTCTGACAGCACTCACAAACGAGAACTCTGTATTTTCAGCTGCTCCCCATCACTTGCATTACTGCCTGATCTCCACCTCCTGAAAGATCAGCAGCGGCATTAGATTCTTGTAGGAGCACAAACCCTAATGTGAACTGCACATGTGAGGGATCTGGGTTGTGCACTCCTTATGAGAATCTAATGCCTGATGATCTGTCACCGTCTCCCATCACCCCCAATGGGATTGTCTAGTTGTAGGTAAACAAGCTCAGGGCTCTCTCTGATTCAATATTATGGGGAGTTGTATAATTATTTCATTACATATTACAATATTATAATGATAGAAATAAAGTGTGCAATACATACAATGCGCTTGAGTCATCCTGAAACCATCCTTTTCCCCAGTCCGTGGGAAAACTGTCTTCCACGAAACTGGCCCCTGGTGTCAAAAAGATGGGGGACCTCTGCCATATACCACTGTAGTCTTATAAACACTGTACACTGAAGCTAAATTAAATTTATTTAAAATGTTTTCTTTCTTCAATAATAAATTAACCTTAGCTTACTGCATGTAATGTTTTAATTCATAAACTTTTTTTTTTGAGGCAGTGTCTGTTGCTCAGGCTGAAATGCAGTGGCAAGATCTTGGCTCACTACAGCCTCCACCTCCCAGATTCAAGTGATTCTCCTGCCTCAGCACCCCAAGTAGCTGGGACTACAGGCAGCTGCCACCACAGGCAGCTGCCACCACACCCAGCTAATTTTTGTATTAGTGATAGGGGTTCATCACTAATTCACCATGTTGGCCAGGCTGGTCTCAAACTCCTGAGCTCAGGTAATCTTCCCACCACAGCCTCCCAAAGTGCTGGGATTACAGGTGTGAGCCACCACACCCAGCCTATCAACTTAAAAAATTTCTTGTAACTTTTTGACTCCTTTGTAATAACTCTTAGCTTAAAACACAAGCACATTGTACATCTGTACAAAAGTATTTTCTCTTTATTTCCTTATTCTGTAAGCTTTTATCTATTTAAACATTTTTAAATTTTTTTTTACTTTTTCAACCTTTTTTGTGAAAAACTAAGACACAAACACACATATTAGCCTAGACCTACACAGAGTCGGTGTCTGCCACCTCCACATCTTGTCCCATTGGAAGGTCTTCAGGGCAAAAACATGCAAGTAACGGTCATCTCCTATGAGAACAATATCTTCTAGAATACCACCCAGAGGACCTGCCTGAGGTTGTTTTACAATAAACTATTTTTTTTTTTGAGATGGAGTCTCACTCTGTCCCCAAGGCTGGAGTGCAATGGCATGATCTCGACTCACTGCAACCTCTGCCTCCTGGATTCAAGTGATTCTCCTGTCTCAGCCTCCTGAGTAGCTAGGATTACAGGTGCACGCCACTACGTCTATCTAATTTTTGGTACTTTAGTAGAGACAGGGTTTCACTATGTTGCCCAGGCTAGCCTCAAACTCCTGAGCTCAGGCAATCCACCCGCCTTGGCTTCCCAAAGTGCAGCAATTATAGGCGTGAGCCACCACACGTGGCCTTAACTGGTTTTATACACACACACACACACACACATACACACATGTAGAAGGAATATACTCTAAAATAACTATAAAAAATATAGTAGAGTAAATCCATAAACTACTAACATAGTCATTTATTGTCATTGTCAAGTATTATGTGCTGTACATAATTGCATATGTACAACTGGCAGCTTAGCAGGTTTTTATATCAATATCACCACAAACGTGAGCAATGAGTTGTGCTGCAATGTTATGATGTTTGGATATCACTTGGCAATAGCAGCTTTTCAGCTCCGCTATAATCTTATGGGACTATAATCATATATGCAGTCTGTTTTTTATTAAAACATCATTATATGCTGTATGACTGTATTCCAATCCATGAACATGGTATGTCTCTCCATTTATTTATATATTTTAAAATTTCTTTCACCAACATTTTGTAGTTTTCACTTTGCAACTTCTGTATATGTTTTGTTAGATTTAGGCCTAAGTAAAAACACTTTTTTTTGAAGACAAGGTCTTTCTTGCTGTATTACCCAGGCTGGAGTGCAGTGGCATGATCATGGTTCACTGCAGCCTCAGCCTCCTGGGCTCAAGTGATCATCCCACCTCAGCCTCCAGAGTATCTGAGACCATAGGCATGTGCCACCACCACTGGATAATTTTAAAATTTTTTGTAGAGACAGCATGTTGCTATGTTACCCAGACTGGTCTAGAATTCCTGGACTTAAGTGATCCTCCTGCCTTGGCCCCCATAGTACTGGGATTATTGGTGTGAACCCCCATACCCAATTTCTGAATCCAATTTAGATCTTGTATTTTTCTCAGGGTTCCTCTTTCATCACTCTAGGGAAGGGGAGAGGACTGTAGCTTTTTACGGCTAGGCAGGGGTGGAGGATGTTTGGGTTCTGTGCTATACCTCCCGGAGAGTGAGGGTCTCCTTGTTATTGCTAGACATGTGTGAGTTCTGGCTCCCACTAGGCCTCCTCTGACACCACCCGAGGAAGGAGGGGGAGATGAGCCTTAATCCATGGTGAAGGAGGAAGTCTAGGCTGTCTACTCAGTCTTTCCTGGTGGGCTTGCATGTGGGACCACTGTGTTTTGTGTCATGTTTTGTTGGGATTAAGTGGTTATTGCCTAGAAGTTTTTAGTCTTGCTATACTGCCACTTTCCTAGTCTCATAACTAGAGCATGAGCACACATTCTTATTAGCTTTTTTTTGTGTGTGTTTTTTGAGACAGAGTTTTGCTCTGTTGCCCAGGCTGGAGTGCAGTGGTACAATCTTGGCTCCTTGCAACCTCCTCCTCCCCGGTTCAAGCAAGTCTCCTGCCTCAGCCTCCTGAGTTAGCTAGGATTACAGGTGTGTGCCACCATGCCCAGCTAATTTTTGTGTTTTTAGTAGAGACAGGGTTTTGCCATGTTGGCCAGGCTAGTCTTGAACTCCTCACCTCAGACGATCTGCCCACCTTGGCTTCCCAAAGTGCTGGGATTACAGGCGTGAGCTACCACACCTGGCCTCTTTTTGGTTTTGGTTTTGTCTATACCATTGGTGTTTTTAGGCTGCTGGCTTCTCTAGCTTCCTACTCTGGGGGATAAGGAGGCAGAAAGAAAACCCAGGAAACCTATTGCCATGTTGTTCCTTGGGTCCTGAGATCCTGAGCCAATTGGCCTTCCTCTCTCTGCCTTTCGGAGTCTTCAGCATCCAGGTTATCAGCTGTACTCAGCAGGACAAATATGGAAAACATGACATCTCAATCTTTCCAGAAGAGATCTGCGTTCTGAAATTTATCCTTGGAAAAACTTCCAAAAGCATCCCATTAGTAATTTTTGAACATCTTGCCAGTTTTCCATAAGTTCTAGGAGATGGAGTGGTTATTTGGGTTGGGTTATTTTTTATAGTGACAAGCCTGTGAAATTGGGGTAGGACTTTTTGCCTTGCCAGTCTGTAAATTAATAACTGCTTAGGATTGAAAATTGCTGAGCAGTAACACAAATACTTCACCCTAAAATGTAAACAAAACTGGCCACTCATGCACAAATCAGTTCTTCGTTCCTGACGGATGGAAGTAGTGGGGATACCTTTACACTTGTGGAGCCGTAGCATTGCGTTCCAAAGAAACCACAGGATCTCGAATCTAAGTAACCCTCAGGATGAAAATGTGTGCTGCTGAATTGAAACTAGAGCTATGATTGGAATATGGCTAATATTTTATGCTTTCGTGATTCATGCTTTTTTTTTTTTTAGCTAATGTAGAAAATAAAGAAAATAATTCTTACAGACCAATAAAAGTATTTGGTAAAAGGAAACAAATTTCAAATAATCTCTAGAGGAAGTTCCTCCTTGCTGTTACCTCTCTTGTGGACGAGTTTGTTAAAATGATGATGATGATGATGATTTTTTTGAGACAGTGTTTCATTCTTGTCACCCAGGCTGAACTGCAATGGCACAATCTTGACTCACTGCAACCCCCGCCTCCTGGGTTCAAGTGATTCTCCTGACTCAGCCTCCCAATTAGCTGGGATTACAGGTGCCCATCACCACACCCAGCTAATTTTTGTATTTTTAGTAGATATGGGGTTTTGCCATGTTGGCCAGGCTGGTCTCAAACTCCTGACCTCAGGTGATCTGCCCACCTCAGCCTTCCAAAGTGCTGGGATTACAGGCATGAACCACCATGCCTGGCTGTGTTTGTTAAAATTAAAGGAGAGAATGTTTGCTGCTTAGAGATGTTCTATAGATGTAATTTACGGAAAATAAATGTTAACTGATTCAAATAGATAATAAAATATATGTATCATAAATTTTCTTTTCTAGCATTTATGAGACCAGTACAAACTACTCAAGAGGAAGATGCCTGTAGCTGCCGATTTCCAGAAGAAGAAGAAGGAGGACGTGAACTGTGAAATGGAAATCGATGGGGCTATTGGAACTTTCTTGAAAAGAAGCAAGGAAATACAAGTCATCCCACTATTACATCTTTCTAAAATGAAGAAGACCATCCTAGATAATACCCAGGATTACCCCCAACACACATTTTTTTCTAAATGCTAATGAGTTGGCCTTTAAAAATGCACCATTTTTTTTTTTTTTTGACAGAGTTTTTCTCACTCCGTCACCCAGGCTGGAGTGCAGTGGCATCATCATAGCTCCCTGCAGCCTTGACCTCCAGGAGCTCAAGTCTCCTGCCTCAGTCTCCTGAGTAGCTGGAACTATAAGCAAGAGCCACCACATCTGACTAATTTTTTCATTTTTTGTGTTTTTATTGGTAGAGGTGGCATTTCATCATGTTGTCCAGGCTGGTCTCAAACTCCTGGGCTCACTTTGGCCTCTCCAAGTGCTGGGATTATGGATGCGAGTTGCTATGCCTGGCCAAAAAAATGTAGCACTTTTAACAGAACAAACAGGAGGGGACAGAGCTCGTGGTAAAAAAAAAAACAAACGCATTTTCTAGATACCACTTAACAGGCTCGAGCTAGTTTTTTCGAAATCCAAAGAAAATGATAGTTTAAATTCATTTATGTAGGCCAGTGGTCCAACTTCAATTACAATCTAGATCAATGCAGGTTTGTTTTTTGGTGCAAATATGACATATGACAACAAGCCACAAGGTGCACTCAGCACCCCAACTAAACTTGCCATTGGTTCTTTCATTTGACATGACATGCTCCACTGTCAGGGGAAATATGAGCAGAGTGCCTGTGGTTGGGGTCAAGGGCAAGAAAACCTCAGGCCTTGAGGAAGGTCTGGAAAGAGGTCAGGTGTCTGTGTATCCTGAGGTTCTCTCCATCCTCACACCTTCTACCTTTGTCCTGCTCCCTTTTAAGCCAGGTTACGTTCTAAACATTCTTAACTTATAACATGATAGTTGATACAGAAGCCAATAAATGAACCACATATGATAGGTATGAAGTACAGTGAAAAAGGGAACACCTGTGAGCTTATTGTCCTACCGCAGCACTAGAGTGGGGCCGCCAAACTCTCATGGCCAAACCTGGCGCACCGTTTACCTTTGTTTGTTTGTTTGTTTGCTTGAGACAGACAGAGTCTTGCTATGTTGCCCAGGCTGGAATGCAGTGGCTATTCACCGGCATGATCATAGCACACTTTAGCCTTAAACTCCTGGGGTCAAGTGATCCCATCTGCCTCAGCCTCCCAAGTAGCTGGGATTACAGGTGTAAACCACCTGGCATGGCTGCCATTGTTTGGCTTATGAACTAAGTATAGCTTTTTTTTGAGACAGGTTCTCGCTCTGTTGCCCAGGCTGGAGTACAGTGGTGCGATCTTGGCTCACGGCAACCTCTGCCTCCTGGTTCAAGCGATTCTCGTGCCTCAGCTTCCAGAGTAGCTGGAATTACAGGTGCATACATACCACTGCATCTGACTAATTTTTATGTTTTTAGCAGAGATGGGGCTTTGCTGTCTTGGCCAGACTGGTCTCAAACTCCTGGCTTCAAGTGATTCCCTCACCTCGGCCTCCCACCGTGCTGGGCTTATAGGGATGAGCCACTGGGCGGCCAGCTTTTACATTTGTAAGTGGTTTAAAAGTAATCAAAAGAAGAATAATAGTTTATAGCACATAAAATTATATAAAACTGAAATTTCAGAGTCAATAGGTAAAGTCCTACTGGAACACGGCCACGTGCATTTATTTCTATACTAAGACTGGCTTTGCACTACAAGAGCAGCGTTGAGTAGGTGTGACAGACGCCGCAGACCACGAACATTTAGTATCTGAATCCTTACAGGGTGAAAGTCAAGGTCACAGCCACCATCCATGTGCTGCTTTCCCTGCTCGCCTCCTGCCCATCCCCAGGCAACCTCTCTTAGGAATTTTGAGTTTATCTTTCCCTTGCTTAAAAAAATCATTTATCATATAATTATGTATCCTATGTTATTTCATTTTGCTTCTTTTTGAGCTTTATGAAAATTGTATTGGGCTAATGAAGACTTCTATGACTTGCCTGAATCACTCAAAATTATATTTATAGGACTCACTGTGGCCAGGTGCAGTGGCTCACACCTGTAATTCCAGCACTTTGGGACGCCAAGCCAGGTGGATCACCTGAGGTCAGGAGTTCAAGACCAGACTGGCCAACATGGTGAGACCCTGTCTCTACAAAAATTAGCTAGGCATGGTGGTAGGTGCCTGTAATCTACTCAGGAGGCTGAAGCAGGAGAATTGCTTGAACCAGGGGGGTGAAGGTTGCAGTGAGCTGAGATTGTTCCACTGCATTCCAGCCTGGGCAACAGAGCGAAACTCTCAAAAAAAAAAAAAAACTCATTGCATTATTGTGTGTAGCTTCAGTGCATTCATATTGACTGCTGCAGATATGTCATGAATTATAGATCCATTCTCTACCAAGAAACATTTGGGGTTTTTAAAGGTGTTTTGCAATCATGGGCAACATTGTCATGGATGCTATTTTTTGTATCTCCTGTGCAGAAGTGTCTCCAAGGAAAGTTTCTAAAAGTGGAATTGCTGGGTCTTAGGACATGTGATGCTCAACTTTATGAGCTGGTGCCTGTATCAGTTAGGACATGCTGAGTTATGCACAAATAACAAATAATTCCCCAATTTTTAATGGATTACAACAAAACAACAAAGGTGTATTTCCTTTTTTTTTTTGAGATAGAGTCTCCCTCTGTCTCCCAGGCTGGAGTGCAGTGGTGCAATCTTGGCTCACTGCAACCTCAGTCTCCTGAGTTTAAGTGATCCTCCTGTCTCAGCCTCCTGAGTAGCTGAGACCACAGGCATGTGACAACATGCCTGGCTAATTTTTGTACTTTTAGTAGAGATGGGGTTTCACCATGTTGGCCAGGCTGGTCTTGAACTCCTGACGTCAGGTGATCTGCCCACTTTGGCCTCCCAAAGTGCTGGGATTGCAGGTGTAAGCCACCACATTCTGTCATTTCTTACACTTTGGTATGACATGCCTATCACAAGCTTGCGGTGCCTCTGTCCCATGTTATTTTACTATGGGGTTTAGGGGGAGGGAGAAGCTACTCTTTGGAACACTGGGCATTGCGTGGCAAATGGATATCTGTCACTTCTGCTCCTAGATAGTTCTTTCTACTGTAACCTTTAGAGCAAATCACGCTGTCAAGCCAGGCATCAGTAGGGCAGAAAAGTATAATCTTTATTTATTTATTTATTTATTTATTTATTTATTTATTGTGATGGAGTTTCGCTATTGTTGCCCAGGCTGGAGTGCAGTGGTGCAATCTTGGCTCACTGTAACCTCCACCTCCCGGGTTCAAGCAATTCTCCTGCCTCAGCCTCCTGAGTAGCTTACAGGCATGTGCCACCACACAATCTTTAAATAGGGATAAGGAGAAAACCTTTCTGAACAATAGTCTCCTGCAGTGCCCAGCTGTTCTTCAAAGTGCCTGTCCTCATGTACCCCTGTCAGTCATAAGTGTCCTGAGAGTCATGTGAGTAACCCACTGATCCATCTCCTTGTTAACCCCTAGTATTATCAGATGCCCTTAATTCTGTCAATCCAGTGGGTATAAAATGAGATCTCACTGTGGTCTTAATTTCCATTTACTTGGTTACTGATGAGTAACTTATCATGTTTATATACCATCCGTGTTCACTTTTTAAAATAAAATGCTTGCTCATGCTTTTTTGCCCATTTGAAAAAAAACTTGGGGCCAGGTGTGATGGCTCACGCCTATGGTCCCAGCACTTTGAGAGGCCGAGGCAGGTGGATCACTTGAGCCTTGGCAACATGGTGAAACCCTGTCTTTACAAAAAATACAAAAATTAGCTGGGTGTGGTGGTGTGCACCTGTAGTCCCACCTACTCAGGAGGCTCGCTTGAGCCCAGAAGGCAGAGGTTACAGTAAGCCGAGACCATGTCACTGCACTTCAGCCTGGGTAACAGAGTAAGACCTTGTCTCAAAAAACAAACACATAAACAAAGAAAAAGCAAAACAAAACAAAAAATCAAATGTGGTTCTTTGTCCTGATTCCTAAAAGGTCTTTATGTATTCTAGTTAATAATCTTTGGTCAGTTAAAAGATATCTCCTTTGTGGCAGGGCACAGTGGCTCACACCTGTAATCCTAGCACTTTGGGAGGCCAAGGTGAGTGGATCATCTGAGGTCAGGAGTTTGAGACCAGCCTGGCCAACATGGTGAAACCCCGTCCTTACTAAATAAATACAAAAATTAGCTGGGTATGGTGGCATGTGCCTCTAATGCCAGCTGCTTGGGAGGCTGAGGCAAGAAAATCACTTGAACCCAGGAGGCAGAGGTTGCAGTGAGCCAAGATTGTTCCATTGCACTCCAGCCTGAGTGACAAGAGCGAAATTTGTCTGCAAAAATATGAACATATATCCTTTGTAATTTACTTTTTCCTTTTTAAAAATGTTTATAAAATTATTTTTTATTGTTACTTTTAGTAGAGATGAGGTTTCACTATGTTGCCCAGGCTGGTCTCGAACTCCTCAGCTCAAGTGATCTTTCCACCTCAGCTTTCCAAAGTGCTGGAATTGCAGACATGAGCCACCACGCCCCACCCATTTTTCTCTAATTAATGATGTCTTTCTTTTTCTGGTAATAAGCAAAAAGTTCTTCATTTGATTTGATTAAATTTATAACTGCTTTCTCATGTGGTTAATATTTTTGTTGCCTGGCTAAAGAAATCGTTTTCTCTCCCAATATTATAAAGATGTTTGCCCACATTTTATTCCAAAAGCTGTAAGTTTTGTCTTTCATATTGAAGTCTAACATATCGGGAACTGACTTTTGTGCTTGTTGGAAGGTAATGACCTGATTCCATGGCTTACATATAGGTAACCACTAGCCCCTGCACCATTTATTCTACACTTCATCTTTTCCTGTGGATCTGCAATCTCATCTCCCATTCATCAAGTGCCACATGGCTGTGGGTCTGCTTCTGAGCTCCTTGTTCTGTTCCATTGTCAATTTGTCTACCCTGTGCCAGTATCACACTGTGTTTATTACAATAACTTTGTAACAGCTCTGATAGCTGGTAGGACATCTCCCTCCACCTTCTTTTTCTACTTCAGAGATGTCTTAGCTGGCTGGGCATGGTGGCTCACGCCTATAATCCCAGCACTTTGGGAGGCCGAGGCAGGTGGATCACGAGGTCAAGAGATTGAGACCATCCTAGTCAACATGGTGAAACCCCGTCTCTACTAAAAATACAAAAAATTAGCTGGGCATGGTGGCACGTGCCTGTAATCCCAGCTACTCAGGAGGCTGAGGCAGGAGAATTGCCTGAACCCAGGAGGCGGAGGTTGCGGTGAGCCGAGATCGCGCCATTGCACTCCAGCCTGGGTAACAAGAGCAAAACTCCATCTCAAAAAAAAAGAAATGTCTTAGCTAAGCCGGGCATGGTGTCTCACACCTGTAATCCCAGCACTTTGGGAGGCCAAAGCGGATGGATCACCTGAG